AAGCGAAAGAGGAAGAAAAACAATCAGAAGACATATGTTATACGGCAGCAATATGATATTAAAGTCTTATAAAGTACCTATTCTTATTTCCCTTTTTTGGATTGGTTTAAAGATATAATATATAATAATATAATATAATCTTTTAATTACACTTTTAATAATATAATATAATATAATATAATCTTTTAACTAAACTTTTAATAATATAATATAATATATATATATATTATATAACAATTTTATGTTTATGTTTTTAATATAATGGAATGTGTATTTTATTTTCCATTAACGGATTTTAATTGATATTCAAGGATTTTAAATAATTTTACATTCAGAGAACAAGTTCACAACAGACCTTCAATCCAAACCTTCCCCAAAAGACATTAATTACTAAAGCAGAATATATATATCTGTTCATATCTTACTTATCTTATCTTTTTTTTGGACTCAAAGGTAGCCAATTCGTTTTAAAAGCATAAACAACAACATGTCAATATACTTATGCCACGTTTAAGTGCTTCGACTGACCTGTAATAAATATTTGACCATATTTAAATACATCTAGTTCATGTGGAACTCCTCCTTTTATATAATCAACTAAATTCAACCCCTTTTAACCTAATTTAAAAGTTAAAGTCATCTAATTAAAATAAAAACGTTTCTAGTTCTGCCACAGGCTGAAGCCAAAAGCCGGCCACATGTTGGGCATTAAATATGAGTTGAAAGTTTTGAACAATTATCTGCTTATTGTGATATGCATATTCATGTGGACAGGGCCAGATATGATAACACTTTTAAGATATGCACAAAACGAAAAGATAACAAAGTTTGTGGTAGAATGATGAAATGTAACCCAATTTCCGGCGATTGCTCAATCCGCAACGAGCTCAAGAAATCTTGAGCAATGAGCCGGAATGCCATGCGAGCTGAAAGCGAATACAAAAGAAAAAATAGGTGCTAACCCGCAGCTGGTAAAAGCTGCAACGGCACGTAGCCCACTGTGTGGCACGCACACGGAGGCAGTCAACCAGGCGGCACCCCGAAAATCGAATCACCAGCAGCTCGGCAGCTGGCGTCGCGACGGAGATGCAGCTCTGATGATGATGCTCACAATTTTGTGATAGAGTTTAATTGACTGTAATTGGACTATGACGATGACGGCGACAACGTTGTTATTTTGGCGTGACTTGCAGGCCCGTGCCACGCCCCCTGCCCAATCCAATTTGGGTTCAATTTGATTTGAAATTAAGACAAACACAACTTAAGGAAATTGAGCCGCAGCGGCAGCAACAACAACAACAACAACGATTGCAACAAAGTAAGAAAGCTTGCGTCAAGAGTGCTCGACAAAACTATACCCTGTACTCGATAATCGGGTGTGCTTTTTAATACGTCTCTTGCAATTCAATGAATATTGTTTTCTGAATAAAAAAGTGCTCGACCGAGGAATACCCCGTACCCAAGCGAACTTTGTCACTCGACCAAGGAATACCTCGTACCCAAAGCTCACTCTCTCTCTCTCTCTCTATCACTCTCTCTCTCTCTTTCTCAGTCAGTCGCTTGCTCTTCATTTCTCCTTCGTTCGCCATCTCTATATTTCCATCTTCCACTTCCGTAATTCGCACATCCCTTCCTCTCTCGATCTCTTTACCCCACACTTGCTTCGCCGTAACTCACTCTTTTCCTGTCTAGCTTTTTAAAATCGCTCTTCTATACGATTCTCACAAAGTCAAGTAAGCTTTACAGGCTTGATAACATTATATTAGTTATTTAACAGGAACTTTATATAACAAACTGGCATACACTGGTATACTTTTACTGTAAGCATCTCTTACTTTGCCTTCCTCTTACTTTATTCATTTTTTACATGATATCATGATACTCGTTTACTCAATATGATATAGTGCTCGGACTTTACTGATTAAGAATGTATATATATGCTTTATGGGGTCGGAGTAACACACTTCATGACAAAAGTATAGCACCCTCTCGAAGAGTATACGAATTGACAATATATTTGGGCTCACTATCGATGAGTTGTCGCTGTATTTGATTAATGTGCTAAGTTGATTAGTAATCACGTGGCAAAGTGTCGCCGGCAACGCGATGTGCAACTGGAGCCGCCGAAACGAACGGAGCCACCGGAGCGACCGGAGCCAGTGGGAACACTGGGGCCATTGCACCATGGCAATCCGATGCGATCCAATGCGATCCAACGCGAGGCGATGTGAAACGATACTTTTGCCAAGTCACAACAAAAATATTTTTGCGTGGGGCCAACACAGTGCAGATGTGTGTGTGCAGGGTCGCCATTTTGGCCAGAGAGTGTGTGTGTTTGTGTGCGGAGTGTGGCGGGTGTGCGGCTGGGTGCAGTGTGCGGCGGCGGCGGCGTTGAAGTTGCAACGTTGACAGACGCCACAATCGCAAACTCGGCGAATCCAATGCGCGAGCGAGCTGTTCGCTTGCATGCATAATGGATGACAACTAAAGTTGTTGTCGTTGTTGTTGTCGTTGTTGTTGCTGTTGTTGTTGCTGTTGTCGCTTAAATATGTTTTTTCTTATTTTTTTCAAAAATTGTATGTATATTTCCAAAAAAAATAAGACAGAAAAACCAAACAAATGCTAAAAACAAACACACAACGCACAGCAAAAACTCGACAACGGCTGTCGACTTCATCAACGCCTCCTCCTCCTCCTCGTTGTTGTTGCTGTTGTTGTTGTTCTCGCTGTTGTTGTTGCTGTTGCTGCTCCAGCAATGCGTTGCCGGTTCGAACAACAGCTGCTGCCTTTATACGAATAGATCCATATGTATTTTTGTACTCCAACAGCCCATGGAGCAGAAGAAAAAATAAACACGTAAAACAACAGCGAATTTGTAAGAGCTTAAGCGAGGCACAACGAAATGCGCAATGCTCTTAAGAAAATTGAAAATTGCATAGATAGAAGACAATTTGACGAATCTTAAGCACAAGATTCGCCTCCTAACATTGCATTTAAATTATTGCTTTCACTTTTTCTATTCCTTTTTGTGCGTCATCCTTAAACGTTTAGCCAAGTGGAATTTCGGTTGAAGAATCGACCAAATGGAAAGCGTCTGAATTTATTTAACGCGTGCATTTAGAGCATTTCCGTGTGCGATTCCTCTTTGCGTGTCATTCTTAAACGTTTTACTACTACAGAATCAAACAACTGTAAATTGAAATTTGAATTTCATTACATGTTTAGGATATATCCTAATTCGTTAGAAGTTATATTTTCTATCAAAAAAATTAGTGAATCGTATTGTAATTAATTGAAGAATCTATCTATATAAAACATTAAAATTATTAAGATAAAGTTTAGATCTAACTTAAATTGTTGATTGAAAAATAAAGCTTACGGAATATTCCTTATTATTTTATAGATAATTGGGTTAAAATAAGATAATAAAACACATTCTTAAAATGTAAATGTTCTTGTAATTTCTGGAAAAACACACCAACCATCAAAGAACTTAATAAACTATTTGCAGTTAGGGTATTTGACCAAAAAGGCATGCAGTGGCTTGTATATTTGGAATATGTATGGTCAACATGCCAGAGAGGAAGTCAGCCAAGAGAAACACACAGAACTGGGCATGAGGCATGCCGGCATGCAAAGAAGAAGAACAAGAGTAAGAAAGAGGCGATAGAAAGTGTAGGGTATACACATGCTTAAATGCCAGACGCCGGACAATGCCTGCCAGCATTATAATTATATAAAACACAGCTGGTGCTGGAATTGAAATGCGTGCAGATGACAAGTCGCATCGCATCGAGGCAGACTGGCAGAACCAGGCGACCAGCAACCATGTCAAGTGACGCCCTCGCCATTAGCGGGCAGCAAATTGACGCCGTCTGATTAAAAACGCATCAAATAAGACTAAACGATGGCAGAAAGAGAGGGAGAGGGCTAATGGGTGTGTGAATAAATGGGTATAGGAAAACACAACCTATGCCAAATGCTCGTAAAAGTAATTTTGTTGCACACACACACACGCACTCGAACACCCTGTACAAGGGAAGGAAAAGACAAATAAGGAACCAGACATTGCGGGACAGGGTGCAGGAAGAAAAGGGACAACCCCCTTTTTTTGGCCACGCACACAGCGAAGCAGCAGCATCCGCCAAAAAAAAAACAACAACAAGAATTGCTAATGCTTTGTGCGTGTATTTGTGTTAGCACACACACACACACGCACGCACACGGCTAAAATCAGTGCGGGTACGTCGCAGTCGCAGTCGCAGCTGGCGTCGCCGTCATGCGGCTGAGTGCCGTCATCAAAACACACACACACACACATAGAGACTCACGCAAGTAATGTGAGTGAGTGATAGAGGGGGGCGGGGTGGCTGGCTTCCAAAAAGGGCTGCTGCTGTGACAGCTCCCAACGCATTGCTGATTGCAGAAATCTGTTAAATGAAAACTGGTCGAGTTTTCTTCTCGTTTTTTTTTTGTATTTTTATTCAACATTTGTTGATGGACAAGAACTAAGACACACGTACGCAAACACACACATACATAAGCTCTGCATCAGCAACACCAACAACAAGTCAGCTTGTTGGGGCGTCTCTCATCTCGCATCTCGCTCGTCGCTTCCGTGTTTCGAAATTCAATTTATGTATACTTTATGAGGTTGCCCCGCATATTGTGGGGCGCGTTGCCAGACGCGTTCCATGCCGCATTCGGACGTCGACAGCGCCGTTGGCGTTGGCATCGCCGGCTGCCGCCGCTGCTGCTGCCGTTGGCGCTGCCTGGGCTCCATGAAGCCAGTGAGGCATGGAAAATTGCAAGTTCAGGAAAATCGATTTTCCTGTTGTATATTTGGCTAGTCTAGGAATGCTGGGTTTACTTTTTTCAATTTTGCCTGCTTATTAGGCTAATTAGCGTGCAGAAGCAAGCACATGCACACTCCTGCACACACACATACGGTTGCAGTTAGAGTAAAAATAAAATGCATTTCCACACACACATAAACTTACCTCTGGCCGCCGCTGCTGCTGCTGCTGCTGGCGCGCTGCACCGTTTTCTATTTAAGTTTTTCGCAAATTCATGTATTAAACGCACTTCAATTTCGTGTTCTGCTGCTGTGTTGAAGATTCTGCTGCCAAAATTCTGTTTTCAACACACACACACAAATTTACTCACACACGGCAGCTGCACTTGCATATACACGCACACACATATAAATATGATGAATGGTATGTAGGGTTTTTCACTTGCAACTTTGAACTCTGACACGAATTAAAAACCTCTATGTATTTACAACCGCGGCGCGTAAATTACTTAACGTGAAGTGAAGTCTTTACATGGTTTCCGAGCGAGCTTTTCACTTTTTCTAGTATAACAACATACAAAACACACGGCTCCAACGCGTTTTATTGTTGGAGCAAACGACGGCACTTGAATGGCAATGTGACCGCAGGCAGCTAACGGGAAAATACACACACAGCGATAGCATTATCGAAATGCAATCGATTGCATATGTGACATGTGCACATTTTACAGCACTGCTCGTGTTTAGTTTTTCACAATACGGTCAACCCACAGCCGCATAACTTACTTAACATGTTGCAAGGTTTGCTGCAAAGGTAAATACAATAAATAGTTATTATAAGTGAAACATAAGTTAAAAATGCAATTGCAGAACCTGTGTGTCAGCGCTGAATACGGCACAAACATTGTTTGTGCGCCAGAAGCATGCATTCGACCGCGCCGTGCTGAAGCCCAAGGTGCGCTGCCATTTCCCAAAGCCCCGCGAAGTGAAGCGCATCAACGTACACGGCTGGGAGACGCGCATGGCGAGCCCGGAGGGACGCAGAGTTCTGATGCGACGCATACTGAAGGGCAGGCACGATCTGTCTCATTAAGCAATAAAACTAGCAATGTCCTAATATAGTTAATACATATTTCTCTATACATTTGTACAAAAGTTGTAAGCTTTGCCTTTAAACATTCTTATGCGCTCGGAAATATATCTGGTGTATGCTCTTGGATGACCTGGTGTCGTCTATAATGAACACAAATGGGACATTGTTGGCTACGCCGGCACCTTGATCCTTGAAGAAGCCCTGCGGAAGACACATATCGCCGCCCAGCACCAAACAGTTAACCGAGGAGAGACGCTGCAGTGGCATGGCCGGCAGCAGATAAAGTTTCCTGGCCTCATGATCAATGGCACGCACAACACCTGCAAGGGCAAAGAGTATTAGAGATACCAATGGGATTAAAGGACTGCCCAGGGCGCTTACCAATGCCCAGACACTCCGCTGGCTTTGCGACCGACGACCCCGCTTTGCACAGAAACACCAGATTGGCCTCCATGCCAGCTATGAGCTCTTCACGCGTATATTCCTCATGGACGAGATGCACAATTTGCAGCGCATCCAGATCGACCTGCGCCGGCTGGCAGTCCGTCAGGTGCTTGGCGTTGCCGCGCAGTGCGCTGCTAAGGCGCGCCAACAAATTGGCATAACGCACATCCTTTGCGCTCATCATCCAGCGACGCTCATGACGCTCCAGCTGCGGCAAAGCACTGTGCAGCTCGTGCAGCGCATAGTTGGACAGATTGCCGCTAACTTTGTGCTCGTCCGCCGTGTAGATGATGGGCACCACTTGCGCTAGGGATTCCCTGGTGAGCGGCATATCGAAATTGTTGATGACCTTGGCACTGGCTATTTGCACCAGATTCGTGGGCTGCACACAGTCCACAAGAAGCGCCATCAGCTCCAGACCGAAGCCCTTGTTATAGCCCATCGTATTGATGAGCCACGGCATTTCGGCATAGCTCTCATTGCTGCGGCAATAGGCCAGCAATTGCCGCACCGCGCGGATATACTGCTCGGAGCACATCACAACGTTCACATGACCCACCACATAAGCACGATCCGGCTGTCGGTTGAGAAAGAAGCCGGGTCCGAGGAGCGGCCCATCGACCACACTGCACGAAACCGTCTGCGGCAAGAAGAGCTCCGGCTGTCCAATGTCCAGATCAATTAACAGCATGCGTGGGAAGCGTTCCAAGTGCCGATTCAGCAGATATCGGACCAGCGTGGATTTGCCGACTCCCTTGCCACCGGTCACCATCCAGCGACTGCGCGGCTGCAGCGCCAGCTTCGTCCAAACGGTGGGCACCTGCAAGGCCTGCCGACCGTCGGCAGCCTGCATCAGACAATTCAGCACATATTCGCTGGCATAGTGCGGCCGATTGGTGGCATTCAACAGCGGGTAGACATTCTCTGCCATGTGCTTGGCAAAGGTGTCGAGCATATTCTGTGACCCACTATTGCGCTGCAGTAGCACAATTGCATCCCGTTGGCTATCATAGTTGGCCATAATATTGTCCAGCTGTGCGCGCGAGAAGCTCTCGTTCAGTTCGTTCCAGTTGACGTTGGCTTTGGGTGGTTTCTTGTTGGACCTGGGTGCAATGACCACCCAGCTGAAGCCCTTGGGCGAGTAGATGCTCAACGGCACCTTTGGGCGCGCCTTATAGCCGTTGATTGTAATGCGTCCACACAGCAATGTGACTATAACGGTGCCATACAGCTCAATGTCCTGCTTCAGCACAGCCAGCACATTGTTAGTCTTCAGGCTATTCTCAAATATGCTCAGCTCGGACGGCACTGCATCCTTGTAGAAGCCCATATTGGCCTCTGCTCCTGCCAGCTGCTGATCGGCAACGTCATCAATATCAACTGCAAGATCTGGACTCATTTCCATGCTATGTTCCTCATCTTCTGCACCTGACAACACATCGTTATCATCTCCAATTATTGCTGTGGGCAGAGCTTCAGCTCCGCTCTTTGTTTGTAATTCCGGCTCGGGTTCAGGCATCATTCCATCGAATACCGAAATTTTGGTAACATCTGCTTGAACCTCGGGCAGTTTGTCTAGGCCAAGCCAAGACATCTTCTCTTCGTCTTCATTCCCATTGTGCTCCAACCCCAGCGGGATCTGTTCTGTGCCTTCACACTCATATACTTGTGGCTTCGTGAAAAAATCCTCTTCACTATCCAACGAGTATTCAGACTCTGAATTTTCACTATACTCCTCCTGGTCAAAGGATTCAACGCTCTCGATTTCTGTTCAAAGAGATATATTATATATTATCATTTGTAACTTGTCTATTCTTTAAATTCCTACCATAAGCTTGTTCATCGAAGTCGTCCGAGAGTTCGTCGTCTGTAAAGATATAGAGAAATATTAGAAGATTCTATATAACTTTGCAAATAAATGAATATATACTTTGAACTAGTTTACCTACTTTTTACTAACCTCTATTATCCTTTACTATTCTAACGTCTGCAGCTTTTATTGCGCTTTTCTGATTTGCTTCACTTTTCTTTAGAGTCCTATTGGTTTTTGTTTTTTTATCAATTGCTTTCGATGCGTTCTTTTTGTTATTTATATTTGTTGCTTTAGTGGACGCCTGTTTCTCGTTTTTGGCTCGTTTATGACTTCCATTTGGGGTAGGGGAAACCTCCTTTGCTTTGCGTTTAGCTACATTTGGATTAAGAATAACATTTGATTGTCCAGATTTTGGCAGTATCTGAGCTTTCGAACTTTGTATTTTGTAGTCTGTGGCAGCAGTTTCTATTTTTTTCTTGTTTTCCTTTTGATTTTCCTTCTTCACTAAAGCAACGTTCAATTGTTTAGCTTCCATTTGCCGATTCTTAAATTTACCACTTATAATTTTACGTTTTTTTCCTGCCTTCATGGCCTTATTCTTAGCTTTGGTCTCTTCTTTATTTGTGTTTGTAGCTACTAGAACTGTCTCTGGACTTGTTTTAGATTCCGAACTTGTCTTATTTTTCACTTTATTAAAAGAGACTTTTATTTCTTCCGTGCTTTGATTTTTCGCTGCTTTCTCGGAAGTTTCCAAGATTTTCGTGTTTGTTGCTTGCTTTAGTTTTTTTATCTTAGTATTTTCCGTTGTCCTTAAAGAATCTGCATTTAGTTTCTCAGCTTTGCTAAGATTTGCACGATTTTGATTGGATTTCGAAATTGGTTTAATGTTCACATCATTTACAGATACTTTTATATCTTCATGTTGCTTTGGCGCCTTTTGATTTGCCGTTGGTTTCGTTTGGACTTTTTGTGGATTGCATAGGGCAACTTTAGGCTTTTGCTGAACTGGTTGCCAGGCAGTTGCTGTTGTTGGCGCAGATTGTGGCTTTGCTTTACGATTTTCCGTTAGTTTAAAGCTAGCCTGAATTTCTTTTAGTACACGTTCATTACATTTTAAGCTCATATTTCGTATGTTAAGAAAACAAACACAAGTTTATTAATGCCGGGCCATGTGTCTTGAACATCAAGAAGCAGCAACGGATTAGTGATGGAAAATGTTTTAAAAGTATCAGTCACTGTTGCTGCATTATCATTCAAGGCGCAATAGCCTTAATCTACCCAATGCAACTCTGGTTCTTTTATCTAAATGATAACACATATATATAATAGAAATGATTAATTAGTGGTAAATGTAATTGTCTATTGTCTTCATCACAAAATGGCAGGGCAGAATCGTTTTTGTTTATTTTGTATACCCTGTCCAGGTAATCATTTAATTGGAATTTTCCAACACTATAATCAAAGTGCAACACTGCGTCGCACGAAGGCGTTGGTTGTTCATCTACCAAGAAAATTCATCGTCATTTTGCATGAGAAAAAAAACGTCGAATTTTTAATTGTAATACATTTTATACGAAACGAATAACGGTAGACGCATAAGAATCAACATATTTGTGCCATTTTGTAAGCATATTAAGTGTCCAATTCGTACTCAGTGTTACAAAAAAATAATATATATTGTAAGTGAGAAAAGTTGAAAGAGCAGTGAAAAAATTCCACACACACACATATATATATATAGCTCTACGCGACACACATGCACACACACAGCCATGCAATCTAACTCACAGACAACATATGTATGTGTATGTATGTACATAAATGCTAGTGGATGATGATGTTTTTGGAATAAACGCACGAAGAGTTGGTGGCGGGCGAGGAAAAAGACCTATGACGCGACCATTGGACTATCTCGAGACACATTTGTATTGAATTCAAGAAAAGTAAATAAATATATCTAAATGGGAGCATTGATGATTCTGCCAATACGAATACCAATGCACAGCAAAGCACAGGCTTTCATTTACACAAATAATGTATGTAAGAAAGTGCTACACAATTGGAAGCGCCTAAACAAATGCGAAGCATTGCAGTTGATTTGCTAGCATACCTACATAACTGGCCAAAAAGAAAACCCCAACCCCCCACCACCAACAACGGGTGCTTGTCATAAAAAAAAGAGCCTCATGCGGCTGTTCGCTGATGCTTCTTCTTTTCTATAGATCGTCAGCAGCAAACGGCAACAACAACAACAAATGGGAGAGCCATCCAAAGTGTATGACTCAAGTGTGTGTGTATTAGTGAGAGATTGTGGCACTGCGCGCGAGCTGTGTGTGTGTATGGCTTTTTCACATTGATATTTTTCAACCAGCTCGCGCAGTTTTCGCAAATATATTTAACACAACGCATCGTCCGTCGTCGTCGTCGGCGTTGTTGCATCTGCTCTACCACTTTCAGAACCTCCAATGACGACGATTCGCAAGAAATTGGTAATTGTCGGCGATGGTGCCTGCGGTAAAACTTGCCTTCTAATCGTCTTTAGCAAAGACCAATTTCCCGAGGTCTATGTGCCGACCGTGTTTGAGAATTATGTCGCCGATATCGAAGTCGACGGCAAGCAGGTAAGCTCAAGTTTATCAACTTACCCCATACCCAACCCGCCCCCCTACTCCCAACATGCAGAATCATCTGATCATCATTGTGTACATTTCTTCTTTTTTTTTTTTTTTTTTAATTCTCAGTTAGCATCCCCTCCCACCCCTTGCGATTTCCAGTGCACTCTGTGCTCATGTTGTAAAAAAAAGTTGTGAGTCAATATCAATAGTCGGCAGGCATACTTGACTCCCGCTCCGGCTCGCTCTCCTGCTCACCCTCTCCTTGCACACATAACTACACACAGACATCATCTTATACGCACGCACGAATACACACGTACTGCTACTAAAACATGTACTTGTATAGCAAGCTCCCTTCCTTCCGTTTCTTGTGCTCTTGCTCTTTTTATTCGTCTTATACACAAGCCCGTTGCGCACATACAGTTTTGCGCGTTGCCCCTCGCGCTCTCACGTTCGGCCCCCTCACATACCTGTGCTTACGTTTGGAGCCAGTAGCACGCGCTCTCGCTCTCAATTGTAATAAAATAAAAAAAAGATATACTGCTGTATGCCATTTTGATTTGCATTAAGTCATGTTTCCAGTATTTGTTTTTGGTTATTTGCTGGATGTTATGTTTCTAATAATTTTATACGTGTTTTATTTTTATTTTCATTTTTGTTGTATAAACAATTTGCGCAGCGCAATATGGCGGCTCTTGTGTGTTTGGATAGTGCTTACATATGATGTATGTATGTGCATACATACATACAGACAGACAGATGTCTGTCGTTCACGTCATTCTACGTATTGTGTCTGATTAATACGTTTGGCATTTCCGCCAGTTCCTTGCTTTCAACTTGACTTCAAGTTGACTCTCGTCTCCGTCTGCGTCTTTGTGATGGAAACGGGCTTTTGTGCTACATAATTGCCAACTTAACGGGCGTTATCACTCCATATATACACACACATACATACATACATACAAATGTTCGCTTACATACATACTTACATCTTTATGACGTGATTCTGTCTTCTATTGAATACAGGTGGAGTTGGCCTTATGGGATACAGCTGGTCAAGAGGATTACGACAGACTGCGACCGCTGAGTTATCCAGACACTGATGTAATACTTATGTGTTTCTCAGTCGATTCACCCGATTCGCTAGAAAATATTCCCGAAAAATGGACGCCAGAGGTAAACATACAATTTATTTTTGTTAGCTAAAAATCTTTTTTAATAACCAACCCATTTGTAGGTCAAACATTTTTGTCCCAATGTTCCAATCATTTTGGTAGGCAATAAGAAAGATTTGCGAAATGATCCCAACACAATTCGGGTAAGATTTAAACATCCAGATAACATATCTCGTACATTGAATGACCTTTATTTCCCATCCAGGATCTGGCAAAGATGAAGCAGGAGCCGGTTAAGCCGCAGGAGGGACGCGCTATGGCTGAGAAAATTAATGCCTTTGCCTATTTGGAATGTTCGGCCAAGTCCAAGGAGGGTGTGCGAGAGGTATTCGAGACAGCAACCAGGGCTGCACTGCAAGTTAAAAAACGGAAGAAGCCCAAATGCCTTTTGCTCTAAAAGAGCAAATAACAAAATTCTATACATACACAAACACACACACACACACACACCTTTTACAAGAATAACAACTACTGTAACCAGATAGCATGCGGAATCCGGCTACTACAACAGGCAGCAGCAACAACAACAACAACAACTACCGAAAGCTAGAAAATACAGCAAACAGCAACAAGCAACACACACAACAACATGAAACGGGCAAAATGTCAAATGCGGATTTGATTTTATATACAGTCTAGAGTAGTTATTAACCGAAGTAAACAACAATAATAAATATCGCATTAATATTATTATTATTATTTGTAAATGTGACGGCGTCGAAATCAGTCAACACTCAAGCTACCAATACATACTTACTCGTATATATATATATATACATATATACACCCTTTATGTATGCATACTACTATGTCCTATATATATCATTGCATCCGTTGATTTTGAGATTAAAAGCCAACAACAAAATGTCTACAAATACATTACTGATCATGTGTGTGCGTGCGTGTATGTGTGTGTGTGTGTGTTGATTAGTGATGATGCAGTTATTCATTTTTTTCAAACTCTTATATTCTGATAAAAACGGACTACAAAAAAAAATACTGAAAGAGCCTAAAATGCAAGCATTCATAAACATACCAATTACAACTTTTTTGACTCATATATATACACACATACATATATATATATATATATAAATATTCAAACAGAGACCGCCAATAAACTAAAAGGAAAAAAAATATATATATATATGAATACTACTTTGCAAACAAATACACAAAATGAGAAAAAAGTTTTAAACATAAGCCACAAGTGAGATGCATTAAATTTTTTCATGTGCAAGTGCAAGTTCGAGTTTTTAATATTTGTATTTTGCATTAAAACAAAATAAGCGTATTTTATGATTTTATAAAATACCAATATATATATATATATATACAGTACATATATGTGTATGTCTCTTTTTTGTATTTTGTACCGTCAAATCGTGTAATTCTCGCACACACTCAAGAAAATGCGCCGTTTTCTACAAATGCTATATATATATATACTTATATACATGTATATGTATGTGTATATATACATATATACTATTTTCTACAGTTACTATATTACACAATTTAAACAAACAACAAGAACAAATAACCGCTGCAAATGCGTCGAAAGTAATTGTAAATTTGTGCATTCAAAGTTTTGCTTCCTATACAATAAAACAAAATATAATACAAAAGAAAAACAACAACAACAAAAAAAAAACAAATAAAAACACATTTACCAGATTACCAAAATTAAATTAAATATGTGTATATGTATACATATACATAAACCAAAAACAACAAAAATCATTTCTTTTCAAAATTTAAACAAAAAAGAATATTTTACTAAATAAATAAATAAAAAATAAAAAAAAATACATAAAAATCAAAATTTCTCGGTGTTTTGCATATACAAATGGTTCTATATAAACAGATCTATGGGGGAGGGGGAGAGATACCGAAGAAGTAAATAATTCTGGATATGTGTATACAAGAATCCAGATACAAACTTTGGAGTCTGGAGATATCATAAGCCAAATTCGCTCTCAAGAATTGGTTATTTAAATATTTCAATATTAATATCGAATTTTCGATCGACTTTTCAGAGCTGACATTGACTCACGATCTCACGTCTGTGGAAACTCATGAAATGCAGGATTGGTTTTCATACAAGAACTCAAGTCTTAATCTAATCCAAGTAATTCAAATATAGCACACGTTTTAACGGGGTTTCAAAAATCTTTATTGGGGTCTTTTTTTTGTTGTCGTTTTTCATTTATTTCTTGTACATTTAAAATGTCTGAATTAAATAGTTCATTTAAACGCTCGAAGCGTTCAAAATTGAATAATGCCAAAAACAAAACAATGGCCAGCTGGATTTACCAGATTGTGCTTCTATTATAATACTCGCGCTACTAACTTCTAGTTTTGTTTGTTATTGTTTCATGGGAAATACATAATCATAGTTGATATATTTAACATTTTCATTTTCTTTGTTTTCGATATTTTGTGGAAAGCTTACTTTCATTTACCCGCATTCAATTAACTGACAAAAACAAAATTAAACATACAAATAACAAAGTTTCGTTTACCAATTAGCATAGCTGGTTATTAGTTTGGTTATGCTTAAAACACAAAATAGTTGATTTGATTTAACAATTTTGAATTGTTCTTTTCGTTTGTCTGTTTGTCTTTAATAACAAATAGCATTGACTGTGTTGCAGTAACATTGACGTGAGGAACTCATGGTGATGCTTAGCAAATGTCATGGATGTTAAAAAGTAATTAACAAAAAACACAGAACAGCTTAACTTAGTATAATAATAATAATAATAAATAAACTTAGACAAGTTAACAAGTCAAACATTTTATAAAACTTAAACAACAAATGCAAACGCATAAATATAGTACATTTAAACAAAAATCACATTCAACAATATATTGGCTGCTCATCTGCTCATCTGGTTTTTGTGCATTACAATCAATCAATCAATCAATCAATTCGTCTTATCTCGTTTGATGTCTTTAGTATACATACGTTTAAATTCAACATTTATTCGATTAGTTTAATGTGCGTGCGTGCTGCGCCTGCCACAATAATTATAATTATAATTATAATAATAATAATACATGCACATAATACATAATTCCTCGCTCTTGTTGGACTGTTTTAAAGCTCTCTATGATGTACACTTGACAATTGTCCATATATATATATATATATATATACATATATATGTTTCTATAGCTTGCTCTGTTGGCTTCAACTAGGAATCAGTTTTGTATTTCGTTACGTTTTTTGATTTCATATTTTTTCTATTATTATTAATTTTCATTTGGTTTCATTTCAGTTAACGTTATAATTTTAAATGCATTTCTTTCTGTTTGTTTGTTGTCGTTTTTTGCCTTTGCCAATTGGTTTGTTAGGAATCAACATTCTTATTATTTACTATATATATACGTATGTGCATTTGCTATAATATGTATCTTTTGGATTCGTGCTTAAACATATTGATATACATAACTATATATTTATATATATATATATATCTCTTTCATATACTCATTTTCGTACCACTGTGCGTCGCGCTGCCTGGCGTCTAGCACCTTAACAATACAGATACAACAAATACAATGTGGCATAGTTAACAAATGAAAACACTTTAAAATAATTTAAGGAATATATGGAAACAAATAACAAAAGTTTAAGCTCAGACAATGTCACTTAGTTGTTGCCATTGGCCTGAACGATTACAATAGTTTTCGCGATTTTTTTTGTATTTGATAAATTCATTTTTCATTAAATGATTAGACGTCTAGGTGTGTCAACACACAAACATATACAGATACATATACATATGATTGGTTGTGTCATATACAAACCGTATATATATATATATATATCCAAATAAATATATATGTAGTTTAACGCATTAATTAATATTGCACTTAGTTGCACATGCGAACCGAGGAATTAGCTGTTCCCTTTAACTGGTTTTAGTTTAAGTTGCGTCTACGCCGAAAGACCAATGCGAATATGGAACGTATGCGCCACCAGCGACTGCGGTGTCGGGTATGTATCTTCTCGGAGTTGTTGTCCGTACCCAATGCCTTTTGCAACTCCTTGCGGCGTATCTCACGCACCAGCGTATAGAACGCCTCGTCGATGTAGTGACGCAGGGCCGCCGATGTCTCGAAGAAGGGGCAGCCAAATTGATTGGCCAAATTTTTGCCCTCCTCGGTGGTGACACGTCGCTGAGATTCCAAATCCACTTTGTTGGCTATCAACACCAGCGGTATGTCCTCGGACAGGCGTACGCGTGTGATCAGTTTCCGATATTCGGATGCCTCCTGAAAGCTGTGACGATCGGTCACCGAGTAGCATATTATGAAACCTTCCCCGCAACGCATATATTGGTCCCGCATGGCCGTAAACTCAACCTGACCAGCAGTGTCGAGTATGTCCAGCAAAGCGGCCTCATTGTCAATCACCGCCTGTTGCTGGTACGAGTCCTCTGTACACAGAACAGAAAAGATAAGTTCAAAGGTCTAATGGCAGCGGGAGGAGGATAAGGAGGAGGAGGCGGCAGCGCACTCACCAATTGTGGGGTCATGGTAGTCCAAGAAACTGTGACTGACGAACTGCAGAGTAACAGCTGTTGTGTGTGTGCGCGTGTGTGTGTTTTGGTTTGTGTACACGCAAAGTTAGCCGAACGCACGAAGCATATACAATTCGGGGGTTGGTTTGTGGGTGGTTGTAAAACAAAGCGTAAAAGAAATTGAGATAATTTATTGATTTTTCACGGGCACCAAATCAAAATGCGCAGCAGTGATTAACTTGGTTGATTAACTGTTGACCACTTACCGGACTTGCCGACACCGCCGTCGCCCAATATGACAACTTTATAGACTCGGAGGCCGCCACGCATATTCTGCGGTGCACTTGCTGGTTTAATTAATAGGCCCATATTAGTGCCATTTTGCTTGCGGTCGTTGGGCAAGTGCATCGAGTCTGTGTCGGCGCCGCTTGTGCAGCTCTTCAGTTTCGTGGATCGTTTGAGTGCGGCGCAGCCAATGGACATGTCGCCGGCCATAGCTGGCATCTCTGGTTGCTCCAAAGGCGTGGCTAATTGTCGTCGGCCGCCGCCGCCGCTGCTGCCGCTGGGTCGTCTGACCGCCCAAAACAGTGCGTAGTTTGCAGCGCCTGGCCTGATATATTGTTGTTAGTCATATGTTAGTCATATGCATAAATTGCTTTAAACATTCTTTTTTTTTTTTGATTTTTCACTTACCACAACGTTGCACTAGGCCCGGTTCCTACAACGGCGTTTGTTCACTTCAACTTCAATCGTATCTATACATAATTGCGCTGGGTTGTTTTCCCTCGTTCCGTTCTATTTGTTGTTGTTGTAATTTTTATGGTAGTAAATTAGTGTGGCCAAGCCCGAACAAATACCAAAATACCAAAAATACTGAATAACACTTAAGGCAAGTGGCTGCTGATGCGAGAAGAACGTCAAATTATGGCAAAGGAAGACTATGTAAAAACAATTAAAATATATGTTGAGCTTGATATCGAAAAAAGCTGCTTGGGACACGCTGTTATAGCACAGTTTGCCAATATAGATAGATGCATCAAATTCGATTAATCGCTTGCGTAGGACACGCCGTTATGGCACAGGACGCTGCAAATGCGCAAAAAAATCGATAATGCGTTTTTAATCGAAAAAAGCTGCCCAGCGCAGGAGTAAACGATTAATCGTGAACAGTTTGAATGCTATAAAAAGATATAACCAGCAATTAAACTGATTTTCAAATATTTTGCAACTGCAAATAATGACTTAAAGGACTAACAGTACTATATTTAATTAAATAATGTCACTTTTAAAACGAAAATAAAACCGATTTCCCGCTATTTACGTAAAAGCGAATAAAAGCTCGCCCACCAGCAGCTGCACGATCCACGCCGCCGCCTGTGGCTGTCGGTTCGGTTCGGTTTAGTTACGTGCGGTGATCGCGGTTGAGCTGTTCGCCGTTCGGTTTCGGCACCAAAGAAAAGCCAAAAGAAAAACACACCGTGGTACTGAAATCAAATACGGCCAGGAAATTGGCATTTAGCGTGTTACAAGTAGTTGAATATGTCGGGCGATGTACAGCCGCGAAAGCGTAAGGATAAGCGCAAAAAACGTGGTAAGCGATCTGTGGAAAATCCGCTCGAATAAAAAAAAGGAAACGAAAAACAGTTTTCTAAACATTTGCGGCAGCCCAAAAGCGTAGCTGTCCATTTCTTTTATTAGAAATAATAATATTGTCGAGCGCCTTTAAAAATAACTTTGCCCTATTATATAAAATTATACATTGCTCTCTGCCGTTGTCGCTATGCGTGTGCCGAGCAGACTATATATATATATATATAAAAATATATATATTTTCTTATGATTTTGAAAAGCTGTTGAGACACGCGCTCTAATAAAAAAATAAATGCTGCCTAACTGTTCACAAGCAACTGTTCACAAGCAAAGCTGAGAAATCAGGTTCAAAAAATCACTTGCTTTGAATAACTCATATCTTTATTTTGTTCTTTGTGTGTTTATTTAAAGCCTGAGCAAAGCAGATGTAAGATAAAAGTGTATTTATCTTGTGCTCAGGGCAACATAAACAAATGCCGGTAGATTTTCTCGCTCGTATCACACCAACAGCTGCTTGTCTTCAATCTTAAATCCTCCGATTATGATTTTGGTATCAAGAACAAGAACGTTGCCATGACAATTTTTGATGAGGCATTTAATAATTTATTATTATTAGCCTGCAATGTTATTAATTAAATAAGTGCACAAAGTCAAGAGACTTCCGTGACCAGACATTACACCCACCGCAGTTTGGACATTTTTCACATATACACACACACACAAAATTACCCGCACACACACACACACACACACGCTCAAAAATACTATGCACTCTGTGTACAGTTTTCTTTTATTTTTATTTAATTTTTCTTTTGGCCATATGCCCAAGCGCATGACTTGCGCGTTCTTTGTTTTGCATCAACACCAAACACAACAGCAACAACAGCAACAACAACAGCAACAACAGCAACAACAACAACAACTAAACATATCTCTCATCATTATCTTATAAGAGAGCATTCTGTTATCATTGTATCTTAATACCCTGTACCCGTTATATGTGTGAGAAGGGTGTGATGATTTGCTGTCACTTTATGCAACAGGCAAAAGTTAGCATCTCCCATAAATTATATAAACAAATAAATAATAAGTAAATAATAAATAAATAATAAATAAATAATAAATAAATAATAAATAATAAATAATAAAAAATAAAAAATAAATAAATAATAAATAAGTAATACATAAATAAAAAATAAATAATAAATAATAAATAAATAATAAATAAATAAATAATAAATAAATAATAAATAAATAAATAAATAATAAATAAATAAATAATAAAGAAAAAATAAATAAATAATAAATAAAATATATACAATATAAATCAAATATAAAAAGATATATTTTTAATCAGCATCAATAGTCGAGCTGATCTAGCAATATCCGTCTGTATAACGCATCAAAATCAAAGACTATGGGGCATATGATGTGTGCAGGGTATCAGCTCGTCGTCTAGTTCAGGATATGCTTAGATATTTATGGTGAAATCACATTTTACTATTTAGTTATCGATAACTCTTCCTCATTTCCACATAATTAATCGATTTATCGATTTTTAGTCTTTTCTGCTTTATACCCAACTTTCAATGCCAGCTGTAAGTCTTGAAAACTATAAATATAAAAGTTATTTGGGATTAAAATTTTCATATTGTGGAGCGAAGGAGAAACTAAACACAAGTGTGTGTGTGATTTTGTTTGTGTATGTGACGACAGTTTATAGCTGTGTACAGGGTATACGCAAGTCGGGCAAGCTCGATTTTTACTTGTTTTAATCAGTGTAACTAACTTTTCATCTAGATGAACGCAAATCTGACGGCGATGTCAGCGTATTGCGCCAGCCCAGCTTCCAAGGTAGAGATTCACATGTAGTCTATATAGTATATATCCCATTTCCATGCCCCGAGCCCAACTGCAGCTGCTTTTTAAGTCCAATTTAGCGTCTAGTGCTGACTAATTCTCGTTGCTTCCACTAAACGTCCACGTTCCGAGTTGGTTGTTTAGTTAATTAAGTCGTTTCGTATCACATGTGAATATTGCTATTCATTTTTTTGAATCGAAGATGACGAAGACTCGTCTTCCCACGGCGTGCACATCACAAAGATGGGAAACGATGATGTGCATCTGCACGTGCAGCAGCAGCACGGCACGGGCGGACACTGGTGCGCCAAGATTATATTCTTCTCCCTAATGGCTGTGCTCTTGGGCCTCGTCGGCCTCATCATTTTGGAGAATCGCGGCCTGGAGGATTGTAAGTAAACATACCTCTATACACATGTGTATAAGGTTAAATCGCAACTGTTGCCCCTTTCAGTGGACACGCCTCTGTCGGAATCCCGCTATTCCAACTATTTTGATGGTTGGGTAGATGAGCACCGCCAGGAGGAACACGATGCCCATCACTCGCCCGAAGCAGCTCTCGATGAACACGACGATGAACACGACGAAGAGCCAGATGAGGCGTATGATCAGCATTCGGGCGAAGAGGAGGAGGATCATGAAGCTGACGAAGAAGAGGAAGAGGCTGACGAAGATGAGAATACGGGCGCTGAAAATGTAACAGCTGAAGATGATGAAGAAGAAAATGATGAGGTAAGGATTCAAATGAATCACCCGCTTAAGGGATCGGTTCATGAATCCAGTTTCAGAATTTAAGCTAATTAGTTACCTTTTCTCAGGATGAAGATGTGGATGATGAGACTGAAGCGTCCATTGAGCCAACACAGTCTGTGGCAGATGATGCCGATGAGGTAAATATGCATATCAATGTTCAATATGGCTGCCATCTAAAAACTTCATTCATTTGCAGGACGACGAGGAGGCCGAGGACGAGGAGGAGGACGCAGACGATGAGATCGAGGAGTCCATTGAGCCACCCGTTTCCAGATCTAGAGCTCAGAGCGCACCCGAAACAGTTGAGGAAGATGATGAAGATGATATTGAAGAGGTAGAAAGAGCATTTATTGAAAATATATATAATATATATATTAATGTAAATATTCATTTGCAGGAGGAAGACGAGGAGGACGCTGATGAGGAAGAGCTGGAAGAGTCCATTGAGCCAACCATTTCACAATCACAGGCTCAAAGTGCGCCTGACCCGGCTGACGATGAGAATGACGATGATGATGATGAGGTATATTAACTACTTGCTTTGTTAGCTCTATATATAAAACCGTTTGTCCTCACTGACTGACTGATTGACTATAATTCCACCCGCAAGTGTGGAAAAAACGCGAAAAACGTTTGTATGAACCTTTTTTGTTTACCATCCGATCGGCTCAAACTCATTTGCAAAGATCTTTGTTCAAATTCATTTGAGGCGTGTTTTTTTAAAACTTTGCGAAGGATGCATTCCTCCTTGGTGGAAATGAGCGTCAAAATTTTGGTGGCTGACGTTTTGCGCTCAAATTCATTTCAAAGGATTTATATGAAAAATCTCACATTTTTCACAGAATCCAAAGATTCAAGATTTTTGGCGCGAAGTCTTAAATTTGTATATGTATGTAGGCCTGTTTGCATATACATGATTGCATGGTCGTCCGCCATGCTCCTCCGGCTCCTCAGCTTCCAGCGTTGAAGCCGCCTGCGCCTAATTCATAGATGAAGCCTGCAAGCCTTACTTAGATTTTTGAGAATCGAGGAGGAGGGCAGCTTTACGTAAATACGTTTTATTATTTAAATTTGGCGCGCATCAAGACAAATTGGTCTGCTATTGGTATTTTATAAGACAATTTACATGCATACATACATACTTATTTACGCACATACATACATACACATACACATACATATTTACAAAATCAATTTGGAATCTAAAGCTGGCATCATTAGAATCTGTGTATTATTTCAGGATGCTACTGAGGAGGATGAAGAGCCTCAAGAGTCCATAGAACCAGCTCAGCAAAGTGCGCCAGTCGTTGACGGCGACGACGATGACGAAGATTTTGAACAGGTTTGAACTGAAAAACTTAAGCTTTAAGAGAAGTATCCAATGGATATTTGCAGGATGACAACGACGAGGATGACTTTGAGTCCCTCGATCAAGAGGTCGACAACGAGGCTGAGGAGCGACAACGTCAAGCGGCTGCCGAGTTGAAAGCCAAGCAGGCTAAACAGGATCAGGCTCAAGAGGACAACGCAGAGACAGTCACAACCGCATCCTGGCTGGGTTCACGTAAGTATTCCGCAGAGCTTCTAGAGATTAGCTACAAAATAAATGGGTTAGATGTGTTGGGCTCCACTTTATAC